TAAGTATGTTTATATGTATTGTTATTTGCTCATGTAGACTGCAGCCTATCGTAAGATGCCCTCGGGCACGAAGTTCCTTCAAGAGATGCGTGTGTCCGCTTGTCACGTGCTGGTTGGTACGGTGGGTTATAGAGTTGTTGGAAAGTGACATGTAGTATGCCTATGGAATGGTGGTTGTTCTGACACATAAACCTGATCATGTAAACGTGATGCTGACTTGTGCCTTTGTATATGGGATGTACCGAACTGTATATATACCTCCATCATCCCTCCCTACGGCGAATTAGTATATATATATATATACAGTCTTAATATGTAAGTTCGAGGACACCTTGTCTGTGTATAACATTGATTTTGATTGGCCATGCGCACTCGTAGTCTTAACTTCCACGTTTTATTATTGTGGAGATAGTGGCACCCACAGCAGTACATTGCAGTGGGACAGTCCCGTCTGTGTGGCGTATACCTTAAGCAATACAAAGCGCTGATTGTTCGAGGCATGTGTGAATATGCGACAATACTTGATAGTTTGCGACAATGAACCCAAATATTTGCGACTCTGTATCTGAGGTTATGCCTTTCTAAAACGCTCCATCGTTTGTTGTGGGTGCTCAGGATTTACGGCTGCGCTCGGAACATACACAGTACATAGTACATACACAATTCAATACACATACATACACAGTACACATACATACACTTTGCAATACACATACATACACAGTACACATACATATACAATGCAATACACATACATACACAATGCAATACACATACATGCACAATACAATGCACATGCATACGCAATACAATGTAGAATCATAAACAATACACTACCCATACATATGCACAGTTCACATGTCTATCCAGTACACTTCTCTCTCAAGTGCACAGTAAATACTACACGGGGTACACCTATACCAAACACACATTTGGGACGCATATGTACGCATCTCTCACCCAACTGAGTCTTCCGTTGCCATTGTCTACTGTTGCAGGCCTTCCTGACGATCGACCGACCTGAGGCTGCCGTCGAGCAACTAGAATGGTAGGATTTTTAGGTTTAGGGTTTGTAGGTGATGCTTGGATTATGAGGGGTAGATAAGCTTTTGGGAGTTGTTTGTGTAGGTGGTGCTTGGATTATAGAGGGGTAGATAAGATTTTGGAGGTTGTTTGTGTATGTGATCCATAGTTAAATGTCACGTAGAAGAGGGCCGGTTCGTGTATGTGCCGGACGCACGTATGATGTGCTATTGTATGCTAATCCAAAGTGCTAGACGTTACCATGACAAAAAGTTTGTAGTAGGAATTGAGGTATAGCTGCCTCCCTCCAGAATTATGCCGTGCAAATAGCGCTATGGCGATAAGATCGGGTTCTGAACGAGTGTTCAGGTTTTATTACTCCGACCATTGGAGGACGAACAACTGTCTTCATATGACATGTACACACTAGTGACATGCACTGCTGATGCACCTCGAGGCTCAGTTTTGATTTAGCAGTGTGCGTTGCCGTATATCTATATATGACCGCAGTCTTGGATAGTGTTAGATAGGACTCGATATTTACACTAGGTTGTCACCATACATGTGGTTGTATGCTCGCGTATGTACACGCTCATATTACGTATATTGTCTTTCTTTGCATGTGTTATATTGGTATAATTTGCCTATCGTATATATATATATGTATATGTATATATATATAATATATGTATATATATATTTATATATATATATATATATGTGTGTGTGTGTGGGTGTGTGTATGAATATGTATAAGTATGTAAGTATATATATATGTATGTATGTATATATATATATTTATACATATATATATATATACGAGTATTGACAAAGAAGTTAATATACCAATTAACTGCTCTTTACTTCTTCAGGTACGGCACCCACTGCGGCGACTACGGTGGTAGACTCACCACTGAGCTGTTTGAGCAGACTTGCGCTGTATTGCCAGATGACTCTCCTCTGTTGGATAGAGTGCTTGTTATCATGGACCTTTGTCCACCTGTTGAGTCCCAGGGGTATATCGGTGGATTGGGAGCAGGGACCAAGCCTACAGTCAAGGGAACAAAGCATCGGAAACAGCAAAACCGGTCTAAACGGACGTCGCAGGAGCATAGTTCGGTACTCAGCAGGAAAAAGAGTGATATCAAATCCATGGTGGACTGAGCAATTTGTATTAAACACAACTCAACACTTCACGCTGAGAAAATTTGTGTACATCTTCTGTTGCATTGCGGAAATCGTTCAACTGGATGTGTCTTGTCAATAAAACACAACTGTGAGATGCAGAATAGACAAGTATATCAAGTGTATGACATCGCTTGAACGCACAATGTCTGATCAATAAAACACAACTGTGTGATTCGAAACGGTTAAGTATATATTATCCAGTGAATGGACTCAATATATTAGAAACGGATAAGTATTCTGTCACATAAATGATAGATTGTACACAACGCTCCACATCACCATGCATGAGCTATTTAGAGTAGGAACGAAGGGCTACTACTAAACTACCTTAACTTAGATTGAAGGTTGCTTAGATAACAACACACAACACAAGCATAAGAAAAGAAACCGCTATATCGCTTTAAAACATACACAATATATACAGACACACCTTTGTAGCGAGAAGAAAAAGGGTATCCCGAATTAAACAACACCCAATATGCAATGCACATATCATCTTGAATTCGGCTGGATTCTTGGAATCAGAGCTAGTGTTGTTCCCGAGTGCCGACTGCGCTGAGACGTCGGGCCACTCTCGCTGTACTGTAGCTATTCTATGTCAATGTATGGACGCGCTACATAAAATCCATTGTGTGAAGAATGGGTTTAAGACAAGGTTTCATTAGAACAAAGCGTACGATTTGATGTTCCAGCCATATCTTCGTATATAGCATATAGTGAATCAATTGGAGATATAAACTGTTTATTACAGGGCAAATGGAGTTTAAAATAGATTCAACCCGACTGATCTGTGATATACTGACACTTTTTCCTTTGGTACCCTGAAATGCGTACAGAGCTTTTCGTTTGTTGAAGCACTCTAGTGTTCGCCTTCTCGCTCTCATCCACGAGTAATGATGCTAGATAAATATTGCAGGGTGCTGCACTAGGCTACTAGCTATTATCCGTTTCTAGGTGGTTCTCTTCCAATCAATAATACACTGTTTCAAACGACCGTTCAACCCTCATTTCGCTACTTATGAACGTCCGAAACTGAAATGCTAAGGGATTGTCGTCTAGTATGCGAATTTGGATTTTTCTCATATTTCAGTCTGTATTTATATATAGGCAGTCTATAGTTATACATTTTTGAGTACAGTGTAAATACACATCATGACGTGTATAAATACCAAGGAATACGTGGACTTGTGAAGGATCCAGATCCCGAACTTGCGGGGACCAGAACTGAGAACTCGCCTGCCGCCATTCGTGATTCGACCCAGCGGCCAGCTCCCACTGCCTCCCAGGAGTCCAGGAAATTGCCGAATTTAGGCATTTGTAATGATTCTAAAATTTCCATTTGGTATTATAATATGGCACTGATATATGCGTCGTGTTTCATTTTAGAAGGCTATGCCGCTATGCCGCTATGGTCTGTATTTATTTTAGAAAAACAATATTTGGTTTGTATGTTTTTGTTTTTTTGTTTAAAATAGGTCTCTCGAATTTCCCAAAGTTCGGTCCTTATTCTCCAAATCCAAAATCGGCTCAAAAAATGATTGTCACAGTTTTGGCGCCAACAATTCCAAATTCCCAAATTCGGTAGTAGTAGCTTTATTCTTAGGTTTACGATATAAGCAGTCTTTAGTCCTCTTCGTCCTTGTGTTCCTTATGTTCTTAGTGAAGGTATGAGCTCTAACGCTGGACGTGGACTTCTTTTATAGTCCACCGGGACCTATCTCTATCTATTCCCGAACGAACTTGTACTACTAACATCCTAGGCTATTAACTATAACTATAACACTCGTAGTGAGAGGGAAAGGCACGGGCCTAGAAACCCCTCTGCTACGATGTTCCCGAACTTTCTCATGGCGCCATCGTCTATGTATATTCGTAGACACTTTGCTCTGTTCGTGAATATACATAGACAATTTTAGAATGACCTATGTAGAATGACACTCAAAAATCATCAGGGCCTGGTTATATACTATTAACCCTGGCTTGGGCCCTGAAATAAAAACCCAATACGAATTCCCGGAATCATGACTCATCATTCGGGACCCGCCAAAATTCAGGGTACCGAAGAGTCTCAAAAATTCATTAGGAGTCCCGAAACTCCTACAAAAATAACAAAACAAAACAAAACAAAAACTATTTTGTATGCGGCACTATTTTTTTTTAATACATATTTATAAAAAAAGCATATTCATGTAAATACCGTAGCCTTCGGAACCATACATAAATACACACATGCGTTACTATATATTGTTTATTCTTTAAAACAAAATGTTATAAAAGAGTAAAGAGAATAGTAACACTAAAAATACAATAAAACATATGCATATTTAATTGGCTAACAGCTACAACAAACCAGTTTAACGTATTTACGCACCCCGATAATAGTGAAGTCTTCTTTTGACCTATCAATTCACGTAATGGGGGGCCTTGAAAAAGCTCCCTGTGGTGTTCTGTAGTGGCCCTTGTTGTCGGTCGAAGGATATGTCGTGCAGAGCAAACTTCATTACGTTAAAAACATATAAATATGGTAATTAGTTCAGCGTATACGTTGCACGAAATCGTTAGGTTTCCATTTGAAGCGTTTTAACGTATACGATGGAGAAGAAAGGGTCCAAAATCTTCCTATGGGTTGAAGTTGGACTAAATACGTGGGAAAATAGCTGCTACGAGTTGCACCTTAAACTCAAATTCGCACCTAAATCCAAATTACAGGACCAGCACAAAGTTAACGTTGGACCTAAGAGTTGAAAGGTTTGATTTTTATACGTTCTAACGTAAAACGCAATTAGATTCTGGGTAGAGCGGGCCGTAGTCTGTCAGCTGTAGAGAGAGTACTTTTACATGTAGCTGCAATGAGATGATGCAGATGAGTGTAGTACAGCCGAAGCAGAGTGCCAGCTATTGCGAATAGTAACAGGGAATTATCATATATATATATTAAGCACCTTCCACTATTCACAGAAAGGAGTAGTTTCGCACACAATAGTACCTCATATAGAGTCGAGGATCGGGAGACATACAAACACCATGCAGGGCATCATGGACTCGCTGTCACCGTCAAGCTCCTCTAAAGACCTCAAAGGTATCGCGCGGTCTGGTTAATGTGCGCAAAAACTTATTTTATTAGTTCTCATCGCCTTTTGTAGGTGTATTTGGATTTCAGACGAAATGTTATTGATATTATATCAATTATTGTGCTCAAGTGCTGGAGGTTGTGATTGCTTTGAACTTTTATATAATTCACATATCTGTATATGAACTGTATGAGCATCGACTTAATGAAATATTGCTGGATACATATACAAATAGAATATATATATATATATATATAGTAGGAACACTACATATATATGTATTTTTATTTATGTAGA